AAATAATTAGCTTGAAAACACTTAATATGAAACCTAAACACAAAAAATAAAAACAAAAAACAATCACCTCTTATAAAATAAAGTAAGAACAAGAAGATAAAGCTTTTTGTATAAAACTTTCTATGTTCTTTATTTTATTTTCTTTTTTTTTTGCTTTATTTTTTTTGAATTTCTTTATGCTTACCAGAAAGTAATAAAAAATGTCGGTTCACATTTATTATTTTCTGGAGGCTTGGTTCAATGCTTTATATTCACCCTGTATATTTATTTTTATAATCAAAATTGTTTTTCTCAATTTTTTTCTAAATAAAAATTACTCTAATTAATAAACCAAATTTCGATTTCCGTTGCCATTTTTGAAAACCCCCTTTTCTTGCTCAGAGCCTAAAATATTTTTTGTGAAAAAGATTGATTTCGAATCTATCATAAAAAGCATCCACTAGTCTGATTTACAATTCTGCCAATTGTTCAAATAATCGTTTGAGAAGTAGTCAATATTGTCGTAATCTTTAGTAAATAAGCAAAATAAGATCACTCCTTTTTTGTCCGTTAACCTAACGCGATCTAATTGCTTTCCAACCGGCATTAACATGAGCAACGCTCAATATTGACTTAAAATATTTGAACTTTCTAGCATGAATACTGATTTTAATAATGGGCATAACACATTGTGTGTATTAAACGCCAAGTATAATGACTTAAAGCAATATTTACCGATCTTTCAGGGCCTGAAAGGCATGTTCTCGGGTCGGACAAAACGGGCATTTCTCTGGGCATCCACGGACTGGGCATAACACAGCTCACCAATTTCCGCTCCTTGCCTCGATTGGGCGCGAAATTCGAAATGGGCACTAAACTGGGCAATTTCCTTTGGTTTCGTTTACTGTACACGTCCTCCTCTTTTTTCTCAAACAATTTATATTCCTTGAACGTGTTTGTTTTCTCTAAAAACTCGACATCGATGTGCAATTTCAAGAGATTTGCTGCCGCGATGAAGTCGTTGATTGTGTTTGAGTAAATGATGACGCTTCCGGTGTAGATGTAATCCAGGATTTGGGACATGGTGTTGCTGTTGATGTCGGGGAAGATCAGGACGGATGGCTCGGTCGTGTCTTGCAACAGCAGGTCCTGAAAAATAAACAATTCAGTCAGGGCCGTAACCAGGATTTTATTTCG